TGATTAGGGGACTGGAGGCTAAAACATATAAGGAACGGTTGCTGGAATTGGGTATGTCTAGTTTAACGAAGAGAAGGACGAGGGGGGACATGATAGCAGTGTTCCAATATCTCAGGGGCTGCCACAAAGAAGAGGGAGTCAAGCTATTCTCCAAAGCGCCTGAAGGCAGGACAAGAAGCAACGGATGGAAACTAATCAACGAGAGAAGCAACCTAGAACTAAGGAGAAACTTCCTGGCAGTTAGAACAATTAACCAGTGGAACAACCTGCCTCCAGAAGCGGTGAATGCTCCAACACTGGAAGTTTTTAAGAAGAGACTGGACAGCCATTTGTCCAAAATGGTGTAGGGTTTCCTGCCTGAGCAGGGAATTGGACTCGATGACCTCCAAGGTCCCTTCCAACTTTATTATTATTATTATTATTATTATTATTATTATTATTATTATTATTATTATTATTATTGTTGTTGTTGTTGTTGTTGTTGTTGTTGTTGTTGTTGTTGTTGTTATTACAATTCAAATGAAATTCAGAATTAAAAAGGTAATCTTTTAATCTGAAGTGGGTTTTATGGCCACAGCTGAACTGACCTGTAGAGAAAATTGGGAGGACTATGAGTCCAAATGATTTCAAAGGACTCACCTTCATTTGGACTTGATAGGCGACTGCTACTATAATCCACAGAACAAGCACTGTCGGGGCTGTGCTTATCTGGGCCCTCAATGCTATTGTAGCTTCTACCCAGTTTTCCATGAGGAAGTGCTTTTACTTGGAAATCACTGTAAGGGAAAGAAGAATACAATGGTGCAGTTTAAGATGCTGTTATCACCCACAGAGCCCTTCAATGCATAGGACCAGGTTATCAGAAGAACTGCCTATCTCCCGTGATTTCTGCCCAACTAGTAAAATCAGGCAGAGTTGGTGCACTTCAGGTCTCTTTAAACAAGACACCTAGAAAGCATGCCTTTCCTGTTGCAGTGCCTGACCCCTGGAATGATATCTTCCCCAGAAATCTATATTATTCCCCATGACATTCCAGAGGTCTTTGTTCTCTCAGGCCTTTGTGGAGCCCTCTTGATGTGTTGTTATGTGGGATATTGTACAAAAGCTCTAGTTCCTTGTTATTGTTTTTTTGTTTTAAAACGAAGCCAATCAGAGTCATTCTGGTCTTGAGTGGCCTTCAAATCCAATAAATAAATAAATAAATAAATAAATCAAGGCACAGAAACAAATTTCTTTCTGACCTGCTGATATCAGCAGGAGGAAGATCATCTTGTTCTGGGTAGATGACACATTCTTCACTCTCTGAAGGTTCCATTTCCTGTGGGAAAATCCCTCCTTCACAGGACACAAGTCTAATCACTTGAGGCCGAAGGCAAGGCTGATTTTCTTCATGAGCTGAGGAACCTCCCTCCTGGAAAAGGAATTAAGCAGTGAAACATGATACCTGTATGAGTAAAGCTACTTAAAATATTTTAAACCTAGAATTAAGGAGACCACTTGACAAGAAAGGCATGAACTGGTCTATCAACATTATTTACATGGAGCATTTTATTAATGCTTTTATATCACTATAGTCCTTTGTACTGGAGTTTCCATAAGCCCAGATGATAGGTGTCATTGCAGAACAGTCCTTCCCTAACCATTCCCCCATGCCCTCAAATGTGGGCAAAACTAAGGAAGCTCCTGTTTTGGGGGAGGGTGTTCAATTTGAGAAGGGGATTTCTTACCTTCTTGGCATAAGTTGAAATATTGGGGTGCTCTTTGTGATCCTCTCCATTGCTGGCCTGGGAAAGAGAATCCTGACTAGCAGAACGAGAGACTGAGAAAGACTCCAGTTGACGTAGATCAAGCATAGATTTAACCGTCATCTCTAAGCTGCTGGTTGGCTGGCTCCAACGGCTCCGCTGCCGAGGCATTTTGCTCATGGTGTTTTCTGAAGACTGGATCATCGCCATTTCTTTTGCCTAAAAGTGGTAAAATGTTTAAAAAGTGTTTTAATGGTAAATCTACTCAGGGGTTTGCAGTACACCAGAACAACCATAAGAAAAGAAAAACAAAAATGTAGGGCAGCCTTCTTTAACTGAATGAACTCCAGATATGCCATGGTTAAAATTTCTAGAATTTCTACACACTTCAGTAATCCTGAAGTTTGGGGGTAGGAAAAGTTGATATAGATGGTTGATGTAAGATTTCTAAAAACAATGGAAATCTTTAGCATAGGAAAATGAAAAGGAACAATAGTTGTTTCTATGTACTTAAACTATTACCATCAGAAAGCTAACAATGAGTTTTACATTAACCAAACTGAAAAATCTCCCTTATGCTTTTACTGACAGCATTAAAGCACAATATGACCATAGGGGAGATAAGTAAAGTAGCCCATGACAGCTAAGCACAAGTTTTCTATCATTGTTTTTTTCTGTACAAGCTTTATTTACGTAAGGCAGAACAAGCCCGCCTAAAGGGTGCTGCCAAAGTAATAATCACTGATACATAGACATCATTCAATTTTTATGGTTAAATGGTTAATTTCATTTAAACAATGCAAGATCTCATTGGAAGATTTATTGCAATAACACTCTGTACTGTACAATCCATAGGTGTAGGCAAGATGAAAATGCTTGTATAAATAAATTTTATTTCTACTTTCTGAGTTTTGACATGTTCAATAAATCGCTCATCAGCATAAAGCTAGAAGTCTCTATCTATTTTGAAGAGAGAGCTGCAATGGGTAATATTTCTAAGATAGTATATGTACTTGACAGATAACTGCTTGAATTACAGTTGAATATATAGATGCTATGTCATTTAAACGCTATCAAAACTCAACATTAGCATATCATGTAACCCTAACTCACACAACTCTCCAAGACTAACCATCCACTCTTTAATTTTAAATATGTATTGAAAACTTACCCGTCTCATTTCCCAGTGAGATAAGCTCCTTGAAAGAGAAAGATCTGAATTTAGGACAGAAAACAAATCAGATTAGTAAGCATAAAACATAACTGATTTTGTTTTTTTGCCCAAAGTTTTTACTTTATTTTATATTGCCTTTATTATTTTTATAAATAACTCAAGGCAACAGACGTACCTAATACTCCTTCCTTCTCCCATTTTCCTCACAACAATTGCCCTCAAAACACAGCCAAAGTAATCTAGTTGCAATGTCTTTGAATATAAAAAAGGAATCAGGGTTGAGACCATTTAAAAACCAGATGAGTTTCAGCATGGTATACTTTCATTGGTACATAAAAATACTGTTCGTATAGTCCATTTTTAAATACCAAGAATACTAAGTTCACGTCACAGTACAGTTAATTCTGCTGCTGACAACTGTTCATAGATCTCATAGGTATATTTATGTACATTTCCTTATATAGATAGTTCTAGCTTTTCTTTCATTCTTAACGTTGATTAAAAGTAATTTTCTACCCTCTTTTCTCTCGGTGTGTTAGCAAAATAGCCTGGAAGGCCCAGCATAGTTTTGTACATAGCAATAGGTATTAGGCTAGTCTCCTACTCTAGGAAGTCACCTGACTATGACAAAAATCAGTAAAGTTTTCAGATTGTGCCCATAGCAAAATTGCTGCAGCCTATTGTCTGCTTGAAGAAGAAAACACTCACACTGGGAAAATTAAAGACAACTTTCACCTGCTTCAGTTGAAGATGAGATGAGGGCAACATCAGAAAAAAAAGGCTGTCAGGCTGTTTGTATTATGTTTGATGAAAATGAAGAAAGGCCCAGTGTCTACATGATCTTATTCTAAATTTATTTTTTCTCTCATACTTAACTCTGCTGGCTGCCAGCAGTTCGATCCTGACTGGCTCCAGTTGACTCAGCCTTCCATCCTTCCGAGATCGGTAAAAGGAGGACCCATATTGTTGGGGTCAATATGCTGACTCTGTAAACTGCTTAAAGAGGGCTATAAAGCACTGTGAAGCAGTATATAAGTCAAAGTGCTATGGCTATTGCTATTTCCCCCATCTTTATATTCCCTTATACCTGAACAACTTTCAAGATTGACATTGGTTGTCATTTGGAAAGACTGTAGCCCATGTAACTCATCCTCATCATTTCCTTCGTCTTCACCATCCTTATCACTATCTGATGAAAGCACTGGTGCAGATGAGAGGACAGAGACTGATTCATGCCTAGAGAGGTTACATAAAAATGAGCTTAATTATACAATAAGTGCAAACATTCTTAATTAAAAAGAGTTTTGCATATAGCTCCATTTATATGTTACAAATAAAGATCAAATCTGAGATTTCTGGAAAATTTTGAATTAAAAAATGAGCATGATGAAGGTAAAGATTTGTTCTCCAAGCTTGTGGGTTGGTTTCCGAACGTTTTGTTATCAGGCTAGGTAACACCTTCAGCAGAGTTTTCCCCTAAACTCCACTGAAGATGTTACCTAGCCTGGTAACAAAACGTTCGGAAACCAACCCACAAGCTCAGAGAACGAACCTCCACCCTCATTCTACACCTGAGGTACAGATATTCACCATTATTGCAAATGAACACGATTCGAGTTAACATATTTCTCTTAAAATCCATGGTTTACACAAGTATTTGAGCTACATTATTTGATATGAGAAAGAGCCATGAAATAAATTCTCAGATTTTTCGAACAAGCAAACGTCATACAGTTTTGAAACTGCCAAACTGACCCAGAATGAAAAACAAAAATCCATGGGACATTTTGATCTTCAAAAAAATAAATAAATATATTCCAGCCCACATTTCTGTTCGGATGCTTGTAAAAAATTCTGAAAATAAGAATTATAAGTACAATTAAACTTCTCCCACTGAAAAATTAATGCTACTGCAAAACTCTTAAACAGCATTAAATTATGCCCTTTGGTCATGTATTTTTATAATTTTCATTTTAGCACTACTATGAAAATAAAATCTACAGACAAAATCTACTACCCTTCTTGGAAAAGAAAAATCAGTCATATTGAGGAAGACGGCAATGTAAACCCATCTACGAATCTCAATGTTACATTTTTAGCCATGAAATAAGTAAAAAGAATGTTGAAGATAAAAGTTTAATTACAGTACAGTTGATAAACAGGAATTACTGGCACATCATGTGAGCATATTCAAAATGAATAATATTGTGCAGATGTGAATCCAGAAGCTAATAAGGGACCTGATGAAAAGAAACCACTTTAGTTTATTGGTTTGCAAAAAGAGTTAGGGTTCTAGGTTGCTTGTGATGCCAAGGGGAGTTTCTAATATCATACTTCCTTTGATAATGTTTGTGTAGATACTTGCAGGAGAGAGTAAGTGAGGAGAAGAATAGCAGGTAGTATAGCAGGTAGTAATTCCCTTCCTTAATTGTCATTCAAAATGTGATCCAGCAGCAACTATCTAACCTATTTTTCCATCAGCTACGTTTAGACATTAAAAATAAATCTGGTCTGGAAAGTAGGGATTGCAAGAGAAAACAAGCAGGTATGCTAATCCAGGGCTTTTCAACCTTTTCACCCATTGTACCACTTTTAGGATATGGCAACATCCGAGTACCACCAGTCACCTAGCAAGGTGTCAAAAACTTGATGACCAAAAAAAAAGGAAAAAAGTAATAAAGTACAGGTAGTCCTCGACTTACAACAGTTCGCTTAGTGACTGTTCGAAGTTACAATGGCACTGAAAAAAGTGCCCCCCAAGCCACAGCCGAGCAAGACACCTGCCTACCCACCCGGCGGCGCTCTTCCTCCTGTTTCATTTCTGTTGAGGATTGGCAGCAGGGGTGGGGTGGGGGTGTTTGGTTTTTATTCCCATCCACTGGGACACTGTGACCGTCATAAATATGAATCAGTTACCAAACATCTGAATGTAAATCACAAGACTCTGGAGATGCTGCAACATTCCAGCTGATTGGTGCTTCTTCAGGGCTCAGCAGAAGCGCCAGGATCAGTGCTGAGCTCCAGCTGGAGCCTGACGCTGATCCTGGCGCTTCCACTGAGCCCTGACAGTCCTGAAGAAGCGCCAATCAGCTGCAAAGCGGCACTGATCCTGGCGCTTCCGCTGAGCCCTGACAGCCCTGCAGCTCCAGCCATCTCTCGCTCAGGCTTGTGCGGTGCTGCCACCGGTTCAGCTCACTCCCCTCCCCTGCTACCACTTTTCTAGGATGGTCGCGTACCACCTGCCAGGTGCCAATGTACCACAGGTGGTACCCGTACCACTGGTTGAAAAGCCCTGTGCTAATCGCTAAATACCTGTATATCTCCCACTTGATTGATACACACACTCCCCTCACACTTTAATCTCACTCTTGACTACAGGTAGCAAACAAATGCTGAAATATCATATAATTTTATCCTGAAGCCCTTAGTTGAATATTTAAAGCAAGCAGGTGAAAAATAAGTGACTGGGTCCAGTCATATCTGTTTATCTTTAAAATTATAATGGGTAAATACTTAAATTCAGAGCAAAGACAAGACTAGCATGAATCATTAGCTTCAGGAGGATACTGCCAACATCAAGCTGGCAAGATCAATCAAAATCTACTGGCGGTAGTAAGGGATAAAGCAGCACTATACAGTATGTCTAGCATAAAACCTATAGGAAACAACATTCATTTAGAATTAATTAATTTTATTGTTTATTTATTTATTACATTTATTCACTTAAAAGCTACAGGATTGTTTCTTCTCTAGGAAGAAATAGAATTAAGGACAATAGCTCCTAAACTATGCTCACAGAAATTTCCTCTTCAATTTAAGTACTAAAAGTTACAATTTAAGTACTAAAAGTGTCCTCTATTACATCTCAACATTCCAATTTCCAGTCTGGGATTTGTTTTCAGTATCAAACTGAGCTCATAATTCTTTTATTAAAAATAAGAATACAATCTATTCCAGCTTATAGAATAGAATAGAATAGAATAGAATAGAATAGAATAGAATAGAATAGAAGAGAAGAGAAGAGAAGAGAAGAGAAGAGAAGAGAAGAGAAGAGAAGAGAAGAGAAGAGAATAGAGCTGGAAGGGACCTTGGAGGTCTTCTAGTCCAGTCCCCTGCTCAAGCAGGCAATCCAATACCATTTCAGATAAGTGACTGTCCAGTCTCTTCTTAAAAACTCCAGTGATGAAGCACCTACAACTTCTGAAGGCAAGATGTTCCACTGGTTAATTGTCCTCGCTGTTAGGAAGTTTCTCCTTAATTCCAGGTTGCTTCTCTCCTTGATAAGTTTCCAACCCTCAAGCTTTTCCTTAACAGCATGATGTGGAATAAAAGCACATCAAGAGCTGTGGTGGCACAGTGGTTAGAATGCAGTATTGCAGGCTAACTCTGTCCATAGCCAGGAGTTCAGTTCTGACCGACTCAGCCTTCCATCTTTCCAAGGCCAGTAAAATGAGGATCCAGATTGTTGGGGGCAATATGCTAACACTGTAAATCTCTCAGAGTGCTGTAAAGCACTATGGAACGATATATAAGTCTAAGTGCCATTGCTATTGCTAAAAGCAGCTACAGATACAATATTATTGAACAGCTGGCAGTCAAAACCCTTTGCCAATCACCCAGCAAAGGTCTATATCTTACTCTACCTCTTATAGGGTCTAGATGTCAATAAGCACTAAGGCTTAGAAGCAACCAAATACCTGCAGTAAAAGCATGTAGGATTAAAAATATGATGGCTCTCAGCTCTCCTAGATAAACCAGGACAAGATGCACTACTATTTTATTGTAAGGCTACATTACCAGAATCTTACAATTCTGAAAGTACAAATGTCCCACTGCAACGTTCTTAGTTTTTTCTCTGACTTTGAAGCCAATAGAGGGCCCTGCCACTCTGGTTACTAGGCAGAATGCCTTCCTCCCATTCCCCAAACTCATCACACATTCCATTATAGTGGACCAATACAACACCACATTTGGAGGTCCCCATACCAGCTCTGGATTAACAATGCAGATAGATTCCTGCAAAATCTACACACTACTAAAATTCTCTTTGTGGTTATTTGTTTGTCTGTTTGTACCCTCAAGCTATCCCAAACTGCATTATACTGCAACAATTTTTGAATCAAGGTACCTAGCATCTGCTAACTTAAAGAATGTGTAAAAAATCCAGGACCCATTATTCATATGAATTGAAATGTCTGCAATGTTCAGACTATTCCAATGCCACCTGCCAGCTTTCCACAAGTGAAGTCAATGGGGAAGCCAGCAGGAAGCAAAAGTTGGTCCTTCTTCCACTGCTTTTTTTGCTTATCCATGGTCATCAATCTGATTTACCTATTAGCTAGCATGAAGATGGGTTAGCTAATGATAGAATGGCTCACCTGAAAACCTCAGTTTGGCCACTGGCAATTTCAGAATTGTGGCTTAAAAACTCCACCTTGAAACAAATGTAAGCTGTTCTCTCAGAAGCATAGCAAAAGAGAGACAACCACAGGTTCTTCATTTAGATGTCCTCACCTACCCATAATTTGCCTCAGTCTGCTTACTGGAGGCATTTATTTACAATATATCTGCACATGCTGTGATACTTCACCACCCCTAACTGGCCCAGGAGAGTTACAGGTGATGAGAATGAGGGGGAGAAAGGAAGGAAGGAAGGAAGTCCCTTTTTTAAAAAGAGCCCTTTTAAGATATTAACATAGAAATGCTTGAAGAAATTACATCCTTGGATAAGAAAGTGAGGTGTGGATATGCTATTTATTTTTTCCCAATATAGCACTGAAGAAACTGCAATAATAAATGAAATTACTCAGGAACAGGTTTTCTACCACAAAATATGGAAAACCAAAATATGTCTGCCTTTGTATCTATGCTATTTAAAAGTGTGGGAAAGAACACTAATTGGAAAATGGACATGATAAAAAAAATCCTGAAAAGGACCTTGTGGTTAAGACTTATTTTACTCACATACAATTCCCATTTTTGAGTTATATGAAATAAGTAATTTTCACTAGATTACTCCTGTGGCTACCAATGTCTTATGGACAGAAATACAATTTAAGAATTCAAATGTACCTTTATATGCTCTGAGACTCTGTGTTTCTGATATTTTATTGCATTTTATTTTGTTGATGCATTGCTTAAGTTTAAAAAATATAAAGGAGTAGAAGGAAATAAATAGTACGTGTTGCCATAATTGTAAATGTCACTGTGATTGTAGCTGCCAGTCAACCCCTCAG